CGGTGTACCCCAGACATTGCTCATTCTAACTGCTAGTTACCTCTCGACATAACCGTTTTATGGCCGAGAAAACCTCCTAAGCCCAAGTCAACATTGAGATGATATCCAACATTGCGTCGTGCCAGCTATATTGTAGCTATGGCATCCACGAAGTGCTCTCAAACTGGCAGGGATTCCGCAATGACAATGTAATGATTTTGATCTTGTACGCCTCTCTATCAAAAGAAAGCCTAGTTTGAAAAAATGTGACAGAACTTTCCCGCCAACCTAATACTATCCGATTCTTCGGACACAAAAACCTCAGTGTACTGTGCAACATCTTGTGACCCACTTGATTTTTTCATTACTGGAAAAATTTCTTTGTACCGGAAGTATGTGAACACTCAAGAAAAATAAAATCTTCAGAAATAAGAGAGCTAACTCCTATATGATTCCCTGCTAGTTTGGTCATTCAGTCGAGCTGCACCTGAACAAGGTTTCTCATGGTTGTCTGATGTATAGTCTCAAGCAGCAAATACTGCCACCTTGAAGCCATTTCACTACCTGCCCTTATGACAGGACTGTCAGCCCCGTCGTTTTCAAAGTGTTAGCAGTCAGTGGAACAATCAATATTCCATTTGCCGAAAACAACATGAGAATAGCTCGAGTCGCCTCAGATAACTCCCGATTCGTTAGTCGAGAGAACCCTTAAACTAGTTTGCTGACTCCGCCAGTGACCACTTTGAGCTCTCTCCTATTGAGCAAGCGTACTTAAACAGTCGTGAGGCGTGCTTGCAGATTTACTGCTTTACGAGCTAGCAAGATAGAGTTTGTCCGTGAAAACACTACAACATCATATGAGGTGGAATTCGGATAAAATGAAAAGACGCTCCGGACAGGTCTCACCTCTCTGACCCGAGTGGCCCCGATACGTAGTTGCTGATGTCCTTGAAATGCAATTTTGGAGGGATGAGCATGTGGTATACTATGGCTAGAAAAAACGAGAAATGGCGCTTGCGTTTCCAACAAGAAGCATTGACAAGAATAGGAGTAAGTTATCAAATGTCACCTTCTGTTGTTTTCGAAAAATGGTGCAGTAAACATCGCACAGCAGGAGAGCGCTGCAACATGTTGTTGGCGTTGGCGACCTTTACAGCAAGGAAATTGGTCCTGCGCAAGGGTAAGAATGTGGTAGATTGGTCAGGTAGTTCTCCTGGCTGTTATCATTTCGAAAATTCCAGGATCACACTTCAGCGTATACCTTAATAGGCAACAGTGAAATGCGGTTTATGTCTTCAAGACAGCAACATTTGCTGCTTGAGACGCTATACATGAAATAACCATGACAAACCGTTGCCGGATGAAATGAACAGGCTAGCACGGAATCACTTAAGAGCTACCAATCTTTGGTCCCAGAGAGGTTGTTTTTAATTTTCCCCACAAACCTCCACATTTCTTTGGTGCAAAGAAGATTTCTCTTACAATAAAAAAAATTAAGATGCTGCGAGGTGGAGCATATAGAGGTTCTGGTCTCCGAGGAGCTAAACAGTGAAGGTTCGTCATATATGGCGAAAATAGAAAATGTTCTTCTTGAGTCAAAACTTGAGCTGTCCACACACTTTAGTTATGCACTATTACATACATTCCTTCCTCCGAATTTTCCATTGTCGTGGGCGATGACAATCCTTCCGAGCTACTGGTGGAATGAATCTTCTTCTTGAGTTGCTGGCTGCCCAGAAATTTGATTTTTTTTCATAATATCTAAGAGCAGCAATTTGTCAAAATATTCTCTTTTGCATCTCCTTCCTATTAGGTTTGAGGGGGAAGTTCCGTCATATTTTTCAGAATGAGACTTCTATTTAATAGAGAGACGTGTGGAAATGAAACTGCGCAGGATTTTTCTTGCCGTGTTCTTGCCAGCTTCGCAGCACTTTTCGAGTGCCACCGCTGGTAGTGCAGGCTGCTGCGCCTCCAATTCGGACATCTTGATTTTGACTTACAATCAGGCTCGGGTCATGAAGCTTTACTCCTCCATGCGGGTCAGTTAAGGAGTCAACAGGCATTTGGGGCCATATTCGGGCTACAGTGATATAAAGGGAAAGAATTCAACTTTATTGCATGAGGCTCGGTTCGAATTTTCCGAAGGGTGTGGGCTGAACTCTCATGTTGAAGGCAGACTGTATGGACAAATTTTCCGTCTGATCGGCGATTCGCTTAAAATCCTGCAACTGCTTTTTAGGGATTCATCGAGGGAGCAGCTTCTTCATCCAGTAGTTGCGCATGCTGCAGCTTCATCAAACTGAGTTCAAATCGACATCCAAACCTTACCACCTCGTCTTCGAAAGTTTACTCTCCCGCTTTAGAGCATCAGCATCGTGGAAGATCGAACATAATTGGTAACAACGTCCCTATGCACCTCCTTTGCTTTGGTACCGGCAGCTGCCATGCTCGCGTCAAAGTGGTAGAAGAAAGATTTTGAAGGAGGGCCGGTATTAATGGTATGAGATGCCATTCTTGTCCACATTGCAAACGAAGAAGATGTAGGAGTCGAGTTAGTAGTAGCTATAGGAAAGGGTATCACGTAGTATGCTTGCATTATCGATCACTTATTTATCATCATTTTTATCATTATCGATCTTCAGATAATGGGCAGGTATTTCAAATTTGGAAGCTATGAAATAACTTTTCTGCTAACCAGCTTTATTCAGTCTTTGCGCCGTAACTTACCAAATGTTCGTGTGTACTGACAGCCACGTGTTAAACTGATCATAATCGAATGAACAACTTATTTTACCTCATAAACGTGAAAATCAATAAATGAAAACCAACACATCTATCAAAAAGACATCGAGATTACCTGCGGCTATTCACTAAAAATGTAATCTAACTAGGCAAGGTTACCAGGTCGAAGTGGCCATTTGTAATGTGATGTAGCTTACGGAACGTGGTTTTGGACGGTGATCTCAAATCTGCCGTCGAAATTTGCAGAACGATGATCTTAACGGAGTTATGAAGCTTTTTCTTCGCGTCTACCACGCAACAGGTCATGGGATCGAATCTCTGCTGGGCCTAAATTTTGTTCCTGCACGAGCACAACAAACAAGTAGTTTTGACGACACTACTATTTCCATGTTTATCCGAACTTGCCTGAAGAAAAGCTCGCGAGCACTTATTGCTGCGCTTGGGCGCCTTCTAATCTAGAAGAAGACTTGGGTACACAGGTGCCCGTCGTGCACCGTTTTTTTAGTACAGGCGTTTTCGAGCTGGACGAGTGTCATATTCGTGTTAAGCGGGCCTGTCCACCTTTAAATACACATTTCTAGCCAAATCTGGCATTTTGAGCTGCCTTCAAAAAATGGAGCATCAGTGAGGTGCAGTTCAATTCATGTCCATACCTATTCAGCTATGATACATTCTCCTGTGCAAAGCGTCATGTTGCCATTTCTGAGGCTTTCTTCTGTTACTGCTCCATTTTCCTGATATCTTAAACCGCATTCCGTCCGAACACAAGCAATCGATAAGAGATCAACCTCAGAACTAGTGGCAGAGCTACCGGAGCATTATTCGATCAACTGCTGCCGCACTTTTTCAAAGCTAGGGAACCTCACATTTTGCTAGAGACTCCGGGCGTAGTTTTGCTCCCTCAACACGAATATCACACCCATTTGGCATTTGAATATTCTCTGGACTCAAAAGGGACATTCCTCGAAATGCAGAAATGCGAAATTTGCCCTCCTCAAAATCCGAACCTCCATAGCGAGCCCATGAAACAGTACTACTACTACTGCCATGCTGCCGTCGGTTGTATTTACTCTTCACAGCTATTCAAGCAAATTGGCTGGCAACCGCGCTCGACTCCATGTTCCTTCATTCGGACAAACCATTATTCCATTCGGAGACTCATTCAAAAATTCCGAGGGCACATTAGAAATCAGCGTTCAAAACGTCCAGTGATGGACATTACTTCGAAAATGTCCACTTTGACCTGACGAGGATTTCGTCACAAGAGTTCCGTACTGCAATGCACAAAAGCGCGAAACGGGATAAGTTTATGTATAGCCTGCAGGGTACATTTGTATGTATTAGGTTGTCCGGAAAGGAATGCGCGTTCGAGCTTAAAAAATTTTTTATTATAAAGACGAAATTAAACAAGATAAATTCAAAAGACAATCTCCCTTAGTATCAATGACTTGTTGTCAACATTTATGCAAAAAATGGATTCCTCTTCTGAAGAACTCGACCGGCTGCGACTCAGAGAAGTTGGACACCCAGAGTTGGACCTTTTTCGCGGTTTGTGAATTTTCTCTCGGCCAGGGAGTTCTGCATCGACCGGAACAGATAGTGATCGATGGTGCCAGGTCTGATCTGTGTGGCGGATGAGGCAGGACTTTCCAGCCCAATTCCTCAATTTTTTTCTAGAGTGATTTTCTCCACATGTGGATGAGCGTTGTCGTGGATAAATTTTGTCGACGTCGTTTCGACACTTTGAAGACGCAGTGCTGGATCCATGCGGTTCAACTGGTGTTTGCAGATGTCCGCCGTAACCATCTGACCCGATTCCGGAACTTCAAAGTACATCAAACTTTTGCTATTCCACCAAACACGGAGCATCACCTTTTTGCCGCGTATATCAGGTTTCGGAGTCCGTTTTGGAAGGTCATTGGAGTCTAACCACTGTCCTTTTCTCGTTGCGTTATCGAAGCAGACCCTTTTCTCATTTGATGTAATAATAGAGTCGAAAAAACCGCTGTTCTTGGAGCGACGAAGAAGAATTCCGGCCATTGCCACTCAAATATATCAAAAGAAGCACAATAAAAATCTCTTTCTAATAGACAAAACTGTCTCCAAAAATCTTCTATAGTAGGAGAGAAAAAATGGACAAGTTCAAAAAATTCAACGCGCATTCCTTTCCGGACAACCTATTATATGTAGGTGTCCGGGGCGCTAATGTGCGCTATCATCCATTCACTCCATTAGTTTTCCTTTCAGCAAATGGAGCTCCAATTAGATTTTTGAAGAGTATGGGTAAAGATCTGTCCAAACCGTTCGTAGCACGTCCAACTCAAGTTGCGGTCGAATTCGACGGTGAAAGGGTTCGTAGGCTTTTTGTGCAATTGGTAAAATAACAATTCCAGTGATAACTACTGTTCAGTTTGCTGTATGGTCAGTTTCACGAGAAGTTGTGGTTTCCGCCAAAAACATGGGCCATGACGGACAAATTATTTTCTACATGTCCCACCATGACTGCTTGATAAAAAATCACGGCATTAAAGAAATGGTTCGTAATAAAGGGATTACATGCTAAAGCAAGCCAAGGGAATTAATTGCCTTTTTAGGGCTTGAACAATGGTGTAGTATACCAGATTGATCAAAAGAAAAGTATCGATGCCGTGAACAGAGGCCAACAAAGCTACGTAACCTATTCGTCTGGAGCAAGTCGATCTAGAGCTGCTACAATAGACACCGTATGTTTGAATTCATATTATTCCATGCCCCACCTAGCCTGACCCTGAGCCAATCTTTCCGAATTGCTCTTCTCGGGGAACCGAATTTTGGAATAGACAAACGAACAAAGAAACGCGCGCTGCAAATCATACGTACTATGGATACTTCATTCTTCAAAGAGACGATGCGTTAAATGCTACTGAAACAACGAAAAAACGGAATTCCCCAGTGCTTCTCAAATCCAGAAAAGATAAAAGGGTCGAAAGAATGAGGAGAAATTCTGCAGCTAAACCCCGAAAAGAATTCTAGAGTATCATGGTTTGCATTTAGGAAGCACCAACACCAAATATATCAGCTGTGGCGCCCGTCACAACGACACCAGCACCAGATCCACAACTATCAGTCATACGTATGCAGATTCCTATTTTTGTCTTCCCTTATTCTTGCGCCATATTCCACGTATTACTCATTTCGCCTTTACTTACTCTTTACTGCTCCAATCATCCAGAATCGAGCCAGTTTTTGACCTACTCATTTCTACGTGGACAGACTTGTCTCAAAGTTGTCTCCGGGGGCAGTTCGATCACCTGAACAGGAATATCTTATGCACCTGGCACAAAACCTCATGGCGGCCGCGCCACAGGCGTAATTCTCCACTGGGTTGGTTTCGGATGACTGGAGCACTAAAGGGTGGGTAGTGCCCTATTCTTTTTACACATGCATTCTTCAGAAGCACAGAGCGGTGAGGAAAGAGCAAAAGCACGAACTGGATGGATGATTTGGGGAATTTTCTTCGGTTTCTTCACTGGTTCTTTCCTCGCACTTCTTATCGCTGGTAGTCTACTCTACTTCGGTCGCCGAACAGTTTACACAGATTGGTAAGTTGCCTACTGCAGTCGCTACAAGAGAGCCTCTGTCCAGTCACTGAAGGAAGGTCCAAATTTAAGCATCAGAATTCTGCCGGTTTTTCAATAAGGGTTTACTTGATCCCTGTATTGGGAATATCACGAAAAAAGGGTCTGCAATTACATAATGAGACAGTCACACCCGTCATCAGGATCCTGATTTGGTCCCTAATGCAAATTGTAGCGAGTTCGGTGCTGGGAGGAGTAGGGGATTCGTGGCGCCAAATGGCGCCGGTGCGATTATACAGGCAAGTGCAGGATTGGAGCGAGCACCACCTTGTGCACTAAAGTTGAAAACCAAAATTTTACATATACTTGAACCCGCGCTTATCTTTAATTTGATTGCGATTCCCGCATTTATCGCGCAGACGCCACTTAGCGCCACGATTTTGTAAACAGAGCTTGCCACAAACTCGCTTTGAGATCAATTGTTCAGCTCCAGCGGTATGAGGCCGTCTGCTAAGGAGTGTTCAGACTTAGCGATGGCGCGCCTAGGACGCACTGTACAAGAGAGTGCAGGGGTACAAGCGGGTATGCGTTGCCCACTCACACAGTCTGGTATCGATCGACACTAGCCGCCGATGGGTCGCCGGTGCAGGGCACAGCATTGGTTGGGAATTCCCTATGGGCGGTCGTATTTGGCCTCAAAAGGGGGGGGCGTCGTATTTGACGACGGAAATTTATTTTTCTAGTTGATTTTTTCTCTCCTTGCGACGTTTCGGAGGGGGGGGGGTCGTAATTTGGTCCCTTGTGGGGAGGGGGGGTCGGTATTCTGGGCTAGGAATTGTAGGTCGAGCTTTTACGACCCCCCCTCTCCCCCCCCCTTCCCTCCGCTCGACAACTTTTCGCCGAGTATAAACCACAACCATAGTCAGCCATCGTAGGAGCCATGGGGGGGGTCGTACCAGCCCCTAAAAAAAAGGGGGGGTCGTAAAAGCTCGACCAAAATCCCCATCGAATGCTGTGCCCTGCGCCGGTGGTTCTTATCGCTACAGCACGTGACCGGGTTGCAGGGTAGTGCTACCCGGTTGCTCTTCGCGACTCCTCCCTCGCTGCCTCAGGACCAGCCAGGCACCTAGTTATAGCCAAACACGCTACTTGTCTGCGCTCTTTCGCTCCTGGTTGTTCTCTACCGATGAGTGAGTGTTTCTTTGCGGGACCTTGGAATCGACGCATTTGCTGCACCTTGATGATAGCGCGAGTCCAGTATTGAGACTTGAGTACCACCACCCTAGAGCTCCATTCCGTGCACTTCTATGTTGAAAAAGTGGCACGCTACTGCATCTGCGAACACATTCGCTTCGCACGAGCAAGGAACGTTATTGGTGGAGAGAGTACAGTTTGTTTTTGAGAGACTGTTCGGGTCAAAAGCGTCACTACTCCTTATGAAATCAGCACAGGAGAGAAGATGAGCAAGCTTTGCTGGATTTGTGGCTGTACGATCGAATCATTTAGGTATCGTGGAATGTACAAACGATATGGCTGCGACGCGTCGGGTATCACTGGTGGAGTCACTGGAGGAGCATTTACTGTTGGCGCAACGAGTGGAGGTATGTGACGTCCTGCCCTTACAGAATTTTCCCTCTGCGCTAAATACGCACTAAAAGTTTGCTTTGCCATAAATTAGATCGTAATGATTTCAGTCGGCGGCCTGTCAACAATCGGTGGAACTACAATGGGAGGTACCACTGGAGGAACGACAACGGGTGGCACAACTGGCGGAACAACGATGGGTACAACTGGTGGTACAACTGGCGGCACCACAAGTGATTCAGGCATGAGTACAAGTGGAACAACTGGAGGCACTACTGGTGGTACAACTGGAGGTACTACTGGTGGAACTACTGGTGGAACATCAGGAACATCGGGGACTGAAGGGGGTACTTCCGGTGCTGATATGGTTACCATGTGATACAGTCTTTAAATAAATAATTGCCCGTGTTCTACACTAGAATTCTCATATGTGCTTTACAAAATGATCGTAAATTATGCCTACCCTGATGTCATATGAGTACTTCAATAAATGTGTGTTGAGGGAACCTTGAGAACGTTCCTTTACCCCCTATTAGTAATTGGATCAGGTATGTAATGAGTTTCGGCAATATTCCATTATTACAACTACAAAAACTCGGAAAGATTTGGCTGAAAGTCGCCTAGAGAAGGTGGGGTATGTGATAACAGAATCGCTAGTGGGCGTCACGTCCAAAGTGGTGGTACTTCTATATCGCAGGTAGCGACAATAGGCAATCTATAGGCATAAAATGCCTTCGGTGCCCTGGTGAACGGGGTGCTTCGTCTGACAAGGGAAGGGGGGTCGAAGCGGCCATTTGAAATGAAATGTGTACCAGCCGAAAGGTCTTCGGATGGAGATTACGAAATCGTCTTCTTTATCTGCTGCAGACCTCCTAGAAAGAAGTTACGGAGCTTTTTAGGTAGAGAGTATTCGCATTCGGTACGAATTGGCGGCGTGAGGCTTATGGGATCGTGACGAGTGGTTACGTCATACGGCTCAGGAACGCGTGATGGGGGGGTTTGGATCCCTTATACATGTGCTCTTTTGCATTTTTCGAAAATGATCTCTTCACTCCAAAGTGTTTTTGCATAGCTCTTGTGTTTGATAATGTCGTGACGTGACGTTTCGAAGTGATGGAGCCATTGCGAACGATTCCATGGAAAACATTTTCTAACTGCTAGCTTGTTTCTTTGGTTTGGAAAGCATACACAATAAAAGTGCATTTCAACGAATGATTTCACCCTGAAAATGACTTTATTCTCCGATTGACATGACTGGAAACCGAGTCCGAAGCCGCACGAAGTTGTGCACGAGGATGAGTATAGTGGGGGAAAATGCTTTCATATGGAGTGGTGTTGATGTGGCAATCATGCTGGAGGTCGCGATGGGCAAAGCTCCATTTATCACTCACATAGTGTTGAATGATATCTATCCCAAAGGTTTCGCACCTGCTGGAAGTTTTCGGCTCGTATGACAATCTCTTCAACCAGAAGTGGTCCCCATGAAATCGTTCGCATTGGCTCCATCAGTTCAGGAACATAACATCTAGACGTTATCAGACACAAAAGTTATGCAGGATAGAGTCCAAGTGCACAGGGTGTCGTGCCCAGGTGCGGACAAGGGACGTTGGCATCGGCGGGGTGCACCCGGGTCACGCTAGAACGCGGGGATATAAGGGCCCGCACCCTCCTACAAGGGGACGTCGCGCCGTTGTGTGTCCCAAGGGTCCTGCCGCGGGCTGAGTGAGGCCTGCCCCTTGCTAAGTGGATGACAACCATGTACCTACTCACTATAACTACTCTGACAAGACACCATTACCTTCAATAACTTCATATAGAAGAACACTATATGATAACATCGACAAAATTTGTAATCCAATAACACATATGAGAAACGGCCAATCGATATTAATATGTACAACAACTTGATAATGAGGAAGTCATACCTGTGGATGAAGATGAGATGGGAATAGTGAATGGAGGCAGTTGATCAGCAGTGACAGGAAAAGACCACGGACGAAGGTTGAACAGGGACAAGGAATGGTGGCGCTGGTCCACCGGTTGCACGACCGCTCATCATGAGCGCACGACGACGACTGATTTGAAAAATGATGACAATAGTACTGTCTACGCGGTTCCCGCGGATCAGGCTTTTCATAGTAGGACCAACTGTAGTGCAACCCGAGCGCGGTATCCTCCAGGCGCCCCATTAGCCCCCCAGGGACGGTCGTGCGACAGTCACGACACTCCGGGCGCCAGAAAAGTTGCCCTGGTGTGTGACCACGACGAATAATGAGCGAAAAAAAGGGGGCCTGTCACGTACTCATCATAGACATGAGACACAGTGGGCAAAAATAACCTACAACAACAACAAATATATGCAATTTCTTCAGAGCGCATCGAGTAAATATGTGAGGCTTTAAGGGCCCTCAAAAACAAATAAAAATAAGTTATCAAGAAAACTTCATAAATGAGTAGAGTAAGTGAGGCAATGAAGATAAGAGATAGTAAAGCAAAGCACAAAAATGTAATCACTGACTGCCTTCGTGATCGCGTACCGATCGTAATCCAACTGACCATCGAAGCATTCCAATTGGCTATCGAATAAAGCAGGTGGAGCCAATAGCCGTAATCGACGAAGTTGAAACGGCGGCTGTTGTTGACTTTGAAAAGGGACCTACGGGTTTGCAAAAGTGCGAGAGGGAGATTTTTTTGTCTCGCATTAGCCTATTTGGCAGGGGGTGAAAACTCCCGATGGGGGGATTAGACAAAGGCAGCGATCTCCCAGCGCTGTGAGGTGGATGAGGGTATATCCAAACCAAACCGAAGGGGCCTCCCCGGAGAGTGGCGGTGGTCGACATTGTGAAAGACTAGGCGTATTCGTTTATGACTTTGGATGACGAATGTAGTAGTTTTCGTAAAGGTCATACATAGCTTTGAAGAATGTCTTCACGTCCGGTCCAATATCGCGAACGAGATAACTGTAAGGACAGAGTGCTGGGTGATGTTCATCCGAATCGCAAACACGGCAAGGCGTATCGCGTCTGAGTAGCCTGGCGCGTGGACGTAAAGACAGTAAAGGCATCTCCCAACAGAAACTAATTTTGTATCTCGATCCGTGAGACTCTTAATGGTAGTGCAGTTTGCAGTATAATGATTAGCCTCACAGAAGAAATGTACGATTGACGAGTTGATAGACCTCCGCTCTCCCTGTGGCTAGTGGCTGCGAGGAGGAGAACGAGGAGCCGGTGACCTACGCCTCTGATGCGCATTGGACTGCATCGAAAGTGAACGACGAGCATCGTTTCTGCGGAAGACTCGGGATGATCCTCTGGAACTGCGGTTTTTAGACGGTGAACGACGAGCCTCGACTCTGCGAACGTACGGACGGACCTCGTTACTGGAGCCTGGAGATTTGAAACGGTCTGATTCAGACGGCGAATGACGGGGACTGACCGATACCATTACCCTCTACAGCTTAGGTGACGTGGACCTTCCAGTCGTCGTGATAGATGTAGAAAAATGAATCTGCAGCGTACTGGACGTAGTGGTTAAGATAGGAGTAGGTTTGGGAGTAGAAGACCGAGACGTGGTTTCGGAGTCGAAGCCTGAGGCATGGTTTAGTAGTGGACTGCGAAGAATGGTGGGGCATTGGTACCAAATGGAACGCTGTTGAATCGAAATATCTGCAGGTTGGTTTCCGAGGGTGGTGATGATAGATCCGCAAGCCATAAGAACCGTACGACGGCGTCCTATTGCGACTAAGCTGGAAACAAAAGAAATTCACTGTAAACGAAATGAACTACGAATTGAAAGGTCTACCAAACCGGAGCAAGGTGGTAGCCAGTGAACCTTTACGAGCATTGATGTTAACGGCGGACAAGTGAGTAGGGTTACTGAAAAGTAGTAGATAAAGCAAGCGAATAATGAGCGAGTGAGTGAGTGAATAAGAATTACCTTCTGCGCGGTCAGCGTTTGGCACGTGCAAATACGCAGTTTAGGTCAACACGAAGACTTACATGAAATGACAATGCTCTAAGTGACGTTGGGTCTCGCTCACTGCGCCTCAGTGGGCTAACCAAGTGCACTATGCATCATGTGGCTCCCACAATAGTTGGCGGGGTCGCTCACCAACTGACACCCATGTTACCCAAGCTGCGATATATGCAAGGTGCATAAGGATCCTACACCACGAACTCATGACGCATGCGATTTAGCCGACCAGTGCAACTTACGCTATGTGGAATATACCGAGAGGACCCCTGCCACTGGTCCCAACAGTAACACTGGTTCTAGGCCCATGAACGGTATGCAATAGATCCAGTTGTTGACGCTAAAGACAATTCTTACCGTACGAAATACTGCTAAAAATGCGCTTGTGAATCTACTGTCTTAGCCGAGAAATAGCTAACTGCCGTGTGAAACCCTTACAATTGAAGGAGTAGGAGGAGTGAAGGACTGCGTACATGGCGCGACAGACGGGAACGATCACGACAGCAAGGCCGTCTTTCGACGACGATGACTGCGAAACGATGCCACATTTCTGTCGTGCCCAGGTGCGGACAAGGGAGTTGGCATCGGCGGGGGTGCACACGGGGTCACGCTAGAAGCGGGATATAAAGGCCCGCACCCTCCTACAAGGGACGTCGCACCGTTTGTGTGTCCCAAGGGTCTGCCGGCGGGCTGAGTGAGGTTGCCCCTTGCTAAGTGGATGACAACCATGTGCCTACTCACTATAACTACTCTGACAAGACACCATTACTTCAATAACTTCATATAGAAGAACACTATATGATAACATCGACAAAATTTGTAATCCAATAACACATATGAGAAACGCGCAATCGATATTAATATGTACAACAATTGATAATGAGAAGTCATACCTGTGGATGAGATGAGATGGGAATAGTGAATGGAGGCAGTTGATCAGCAGTGACAGGAAAAGACACGGAACGAAGGTTGAACAGGGACAAGGAATGGTGGCGCTGGTCACCGGTTGCACGACCGCTATCATGAGCGCACGACGACGACTGCTTTAAAAAATGATGACAATAGTACTGTCGTGCGCGGTTCCCGCGGATCAGGCTTTTCATAGTAGGACCAACGTAGTGCAACCCGAGCGCGGTATCCTCTCGGCGCCCCATATAGCCCCCCCCCAGGGACGGTCGTGCGACAGTCACGACACAGGGACTATTTTCGATAATATGCAAAGGGCACCACTCACCATGGATCCAAAACCTCGACCACGCATTCGTGAGCATGCGGTGTACCAGTTGACCATGCTTCACGATCGTATAGGCTTGCGCCGCCAATTTGTACAGAATGCGAATATCCTTCCCCCTAAAAATCTCCGTACTCCTTTCTGGGAGGTCCGCAGCAGATATGGGAGACGGTTTC